CGGCAAGGGTGGGCTCTGGTTTCTCAGGCTTGACAATCTTCTCAACCGCAGCTTTTAGATCTTGCGGCAAGCTCTGTAAGTGCTCTTTGATGAGTGCCGGCAAATCCTGACGAGGAGGCGGGGCCACTGGTGGGACTCCAAGGGCTTCACATTGTGTCCGCAAAGCTTCTGGCAAAGTGTCCCAATGCTCTTGAACTGCCTTGCAAAGGGCCGTCTGCTTAGCCTTCTTTTGCTTTCGGCCTGCTTGGCCTCCATGTAGTCCTGGTGGTGCTTCCAGGAGAGCATTTTGGTATGTCTTCTGCGGCCATTGGGCTCCACCTTTTGGAAAGTTCCATGCTGCCCAGGTGACTCGTCTTCTGCGACGAAGATCTGGGAATTTGGAGCTCTGCCAGGGTGTTTGGCAATGAGTGCACTTGAGATCCGGCTTGGCAATGAGTCGATCATGCCAAATCCAGCTCTGCCGACAGCCTTTGCAGACCTCGTATGATCTCCTCATTGTCCTGCAGCTCGTGGTCAACAAGCTTGTAGGTGATCGTGCCCTTCTCTGCGGCAAGAGCGGTGGTCTTCTTCACGTAGTGTGCCAACCGTGGCGCGACCGCTCTTGAGCCGAGATCTTGAGCCATGTCTATATATATATAATATTATATATATATATGTATATACCACTCGCCCCAAAATCCACCAGAGCCACTGCAAATGTCAGCCGAGCATCGCTTCATTTCATCAAGGTCACCATCGGCTTGATTTGACAGTGCGGTGGCCACTGCAGCCACGCCGCTTTCCTCTGCTGCGGGGTACCATCTCATCCTCAGCCGGAGTCAAGCGCTGTGGGTGTCCTGATGTAAGTACAGCAATCATGCGCAACAGCTTAATTAGCTGGCAAGCCACGTTATCATACCGTATGATACCCAGCACTGAGATTGTGTGGGGCTACTATCGGGATGTCGACTTCCAGAATTCCTCACAATACTTCACACCGCTTGAGACCCTTCTGCTGCAAAGCCACTGTCGCCCTGTACGTGGGTCCACAGAATAGGGCGACCACCTCACCCCAGAACCTTAGGAAGAGAGGGTGACTACCTTGCAAGACTAAGGACCAGTAGTCACTACTTACTACTAGCTTCTAGCTACTAGTTACTAGTAGTAATACGTAGTAATGCACTTCTTTCTAGTAGCAGTAGTGGTCATTACTTTCAGTGAGGACCAGGGTGACCAGGGCTTCCTTTCAAATCTTTCAGCTTCGGTGCCAAGCTCTGAGGACACTTTCAAGGTGTGGATCGCCGGCGGCGTCTTGGCCATCTTCTCCGCTGTTGAGACTTTAAGAGAGCGGTGGATCAAAGCAGCCCCCCAGCCGCAGTACTTCACCCACTCCTAGGCTGTTTTGAGGACATGATTCAATGATCGGGATGCACTCTGAAAAATATATGGCACTTTGTCATATGCACATGCACGTAAATGTTTTTTGCATGCATGTCATGATTCATAAATGGTGGTGATCAAGAAGACGACTCCACGAACTGTCAACAATGAAGCTTTCCTTCAGGCCAGGAGTCCACGCAAACCTCGCGTTTGATCATGGAGCAAAAGGTATGGACAAGGTCCTCCCAAAACATTGGAACATCAAGAAGAAATAGTATTGTTCAAATTGCTTCCAATACTGTGCGAAGGGCTGCAAGGTGCCTTTGGTTTCTGATGTCATCTGCACTTTCTCATTCCCACCCGCTCGTCGCAAAGAAGTACCCTTGTGAAGTCTGGTAAAGTGCTAGTAAGGCACCTGTTACTAGTAGCGATGCACTTGTTACTAATGGCTTCTTGT